TGCTCTCTCTCTCTCTCTCTCTCTCTCTTTCTCTCTTCCCCTCTTTTTCTCTCTTTCTCTCTCTCTCCCTCCTGCGTTTCAAAGTCTACAACCAATTTTGTTGATACAACCCTAAAACATAAAATGCAAAGGGAATATTAACACTAAAAATACTTTCACTATTTTCTGATGTTTGATGCGTTGTGTTTGTATTTTTCACAACCAACCCAACATGAGCTAATTTAGAACAAAAATATTTTTTATTTAATAAAGATGGAAACATTTTCCAAACCTTAGGAATAAACTAAAATCTTACCAATACAAAAGTAACAAATTTTCCAACTTTGTTTCTGATTTAAACCATGCCCTTTTATTTTTGGATTAGGGTATCCTGCTATGGTGTTCTAGTAGAGACTTTTTTCAAATTATTTTCGATAATCTAAAAGTATAGGTAGCGTTTGGTAACGTTTATGTTTCTAGTTTATGTTTACAAAAATTTTATAAAGTGGTTTTTGTTCATTTTTAAAAAAACATAAATTACAAACACATTTGGTTTGAACAAAATGTTTAAAAAAATTTAAAAACATAAATTAAAAAATATGTTTGTTCAGACTTAAAATATTTAATTTATATTTATATTTATGACAATGGGATCACACATATTATAATTGAAAAAAAATTAATTAAAAAAATATTTGAAAAAAATTTAATTGGAAAAAACATGGTTTGTAAAAATTATTGAAAAAAATTATTGGAAAAATCGTTGGTTTATAAATGGTTGTCTCAGTTTATAAATTTGAGCAAAAAACGTATAAATTTGAGGAAAAAATCGTTGGTTTATAAATGGTTGTCTCAGTTTATAAATTTGAGTTGGTTTATAAATGATTGTCTCAGAGAGAGTGAGAGTGTTTGTGAGTGCGTGTGTTTGGTGCATTGAAAACGTGATTTCTAACCACGCTTTTTTTACAACATAGTTTAATTAAGAAAGCGTGGTTAGAAACCACGTTTTCTGAAGAAAAAAAATATATATATATATATATATATTTTTTACTTAAAAGTGTGGTTTGAAACCATGTTTTATGATTAACTTAAAAGCGTAGTTTGTAACCACGTCTTCTTAATTAAAAGCGTGATTTATAATCACGCTTTTACTATTTCACAAATTTTCTGCGGGAGGGGCCTGGAAACAGTGAAAGCGTGGTTTGTAATAACGCTTTAGCCTAGTTTGAAAATTTCGTCCAAACTAGACCTAGTTTGAGAAATAAGTTACTAATGTGACTTAATTTGAGAAAAGCCCCTATATCTAGACGAGTTGACAAAATGAGTCTTTGGATTTTGGACTTGAATTGGTGGCCCTCAATTTGATTGAGATTATTTGGGATGTTGTTTGGCTTTCTGATTTTTTTGGTTATTTTAGTTTGGGGTTAAAAAGTCTCGTTTGGAATAAATTTTTTAATATTTTTAAATTTTGTAAGAGAAAAAATAAAATAATTAATTATGATTTGAATGTGATATTTAATGTTATCGACTTTTAGCTTATTTTATCTTTTTGTAGCTAAAATAACCTTTTAATCTCAAATTTTGGTATGCCAAACGAGTGCTTAATAAGCCACTTTGCTTGCCTTTGCTTGGCCATCTCTGTTTGGATAGGAGGCCGTAGTGATCCAATATGGTATAATGTGAACTGCACTACTTAATACTCTGAGGCCATGTTTGATTCATAATACTAATAATGAGGTATTAATAATCCTATCAAATTAGTGTGGTATTAACTATTCCACCCCTACCCCATTACTAATAATCCTACAAATTTGTTGAATTCATTATCCATTGGATTAATAGTCCTAAACCAAAATGTCAAAACAAACATAGGATGATTGGGCCCACGGATTAATAATCCTAATCCCATACTTTAATCCTTCCAATCAAACATGCCCTGATATACATATACACTTGTACATTTATATAAGCTAGGAAGTACGGATACGGGATACGGATACGGATACGATACGATACGGTGATACGACAAAATTTAAAAAACTAGGATACGGGTACGGCGGGGATACGTTCGTAAAAAATATTATTTTAACAATTTTTAGTAATGCAGTATGCATAAAAATAAAACTTAAAGCAAAAGGCAACTTGATAAAGAAGAAAGATTCCTACAAAACTAAGAGTCTTCAAGGTCAATAGCTTCAACTTGTTCCTCTTTATCAGTGAATATCACAAGACCTTAGCTAAGGCCAAAGCCAAAAAACCATTCTTAAATAAAAATTTCAGCAAATATACTTTTTTAAGTTATCAATGATAGCCTAGGAAGTACAGATACTAATATGGTGATATGGGGATGTGGATATGGCGATATGTCAAAATTTGAAAAAGTATGATACAGGTACAGCGGGGATACATTTATAAATTTTTTCTTTTTATAATTTTAATAATGTAATATGCATGAAAATAAATCTTAAAGTAAATTAATAAATAAAGAGAGGGATTCCTATTAACCTAAAAGTGCTCAAACATTCATAAAACATCCAAAACTAAAAGCAAAAGCAAATGCAAATGCAAATTAAACATCATCCTTACATGCCAACACCAAAAAAAGAATGAGAGTAGAGAGAAGAAACGTGAGAGAGTGAGAAAGCGACAGAGAAGTGAGAGAGGCAACAAGGATACATCAATTTGACAAATTCTATTACTTTAACTCTCACTATATTCCTCTTATGAAAGAACTAAACAAAATATTATAAGTAATATGTAACTTCGAGTATCCGATACTTCAAAATTAATAAAAAATTAATTAAGAAGTATCCGATACTTTTAAGAAGTATCCAATACGTATCCGCGAGTATCCGAGGAGTATCGGTATCCGATAAGTATCCGATACGGATACGTCACCCTTTTTGAAGTACCTGTGCTTCATAGTATATAAGAATCATAGTGCTAGGGTTAGAAACAGTTCAAATATCATTGATTTGTTACTGAATGGAAGCCAACAACCTGTGACTGGTAATATGCCATTCACTTGTTCCACAATTTTACCCCTTCACCAGGTCTTTCTCTAGTTCGATGAAACTGTTGGTATCTTCACACAGGTCTTCCAAACAAGATATCCTAATACATTATTCCTGTAAAATAAAATGACCATTAAACTTAATTGTTATAAGTTTCAACAAATGAATCTTTACTTGAAACATTCACTATAAAGGGCAAGAATGTGTCAACTTTGGATAAGCACAGCTCCCCTGCCTTCAATTTTTGATCCAGTTAACATCACTGTTATGATAATCACATATTCAATAGCATATTCGTTATTGTGTGATATACCATGAAATGAACTTTTTTATCTTTTCTTTTATGTGTACTGATATTTTTATCATATTTATCTATTGTGAGCTACTAATTTTAACCATCTTATTCTTCAACTGCCTAAGTTATTCCTACCTTTCATAAAAAGGTGCACTCAGTTTAGTCCCATTGGATATCGTACTGGCCATGGCTTCTGGTAGGGGTATATTGGATGCATACAGACCTAACATTTAGAATAATTTGCACAAAATGACTGCTCTCAGGTTATTTCTTACTTTTCATAAAAATATATTCCTTTTGTTTGCATGCATAATTGCCAATGTCCAAGCTCTCATTGATAATCAAAGAGAAACTAAAACTAAAAGACGACAATAATTTCACCTACGCCAATAATAGAAATAGCTAAATAAGGTACAAAGGGCCATCTAGCTGTACTAAAACTTTAGCATTTATCATGATTGTTTGATACATGAAAACAAATTCCACGCCATCCATGTTCATACAATAACCTTTCAAACTAAGTACACTACTTGTGAGGATTCAGCTTGGAATCTATGGTAATTTAAAAGTTCCACATTAAGAATTATGTTGGAATCTAAAAATTAGTAGTATCTAAATTACTAGTACTGAATAAAAAACTCTCCCATAAATGTGGAGTCAGACGAAAAGATGATTGTCTCTTATTGTTTGAGAGCATTGCTCATCTACCTTTTCAATGGCCGTTGAAAAAATAGAGAATTTTGTTAGAATGAAATGTTCTATTCAGGGGACAAATCTTGTTTCCATAAAATAATGAACCAGGAGACTCTTCTGCCACTATTATGCATATCTTATGATTTATGTGTAAATTGATCATATTTGTACTCTTAACTTATGGTGTTTGGAGGATAAAAGTTGAAGAAAACTTACTTTTGGTCCGTGATTGGCCGTTGGGAACTGCCTATTAGCCCTTTAAGTCTAATTCTTGTATTATCTCCGGACTATCGAGCTTATAAAACGTCTGTAGAGCCCTCACAACAAATGGTCGCACTATATTTACTTCCATTGCTGTTAGATGTTCAAGCTGCAATGTCAATTCAAGAGTTTAGAGGCCTAGAAATGATAATGATAAAACTTATTCTCTTACCACCCCAGCCCCCCATCTATAGGTGGATTTGGGACCGCATCGTTCGCTCTAGACCTGTCAACGGACTGGACTTTGTCCGAATCCGACCTGAATAATCTGATCTGTATATTGAAATCCGAATCCGAATACCCGAGTAGCCAGAATCCACATAATCCGATTTTAAATGGAACAGATAAAGCCAATCCAGTCCAATTAGATCTCCAAATCCAATAACAGTTTTATGTGGAATACAAGCCCTAGAAGATGTAAACGCTATCTCTCTCTCAAATTTCTGCACCATTCTCAACCTGCGATTTCTCTTTCACTGGTCGGCCATGAAACTGCAATACGTAATTGATCTCGTCTTCCTCAACTCTCTTTTGCGTAACAATTTTAGATCTGGAGTGCGTCATAGTGTTTCCAACAATGAAGTTTGATTATCGAGCCTCCATCAACATTGAAGATTGATTATCGAGCCTCTAGATTGTAGGGATCAAAGCGAGATTTGGGATTGAAATTCGAATTGACATTAAAGAGGCTGGCTTCTGTTTCCTGTTTTTATTTTTCTGCTATGTAGGATCTTTTATTAGATTTTTCTGCTATTTTTCTGCTATAGTTTCAACTTTGCTGATTTTGAGGTTGGAATTCTCATCCTTTCTTGATTTTCATTGGAATTTGTTGACAACCCACCACTAATTTAGATCAGAAACCCATTTGGATATTGTTTATGGCTATTGATTTGAGAGGAAGGAAAAAAAAAATTGTTGTTGCATCAAACTCAGTTCTTTCTTCCAGGAAAACAGATCAGATGGGATTTGTGGTACGGATATCCATATAAATCGGATCGGATTCAGATGGGTCATTAGCGGTTTGGACGATCGGATTCGGCTTTGAACGAACATCTAGTCGGATTGCATCCTGTCAGATCCGATCCGATCCGATCCATTTATAGGCCTAGTTGACTCCATAGTGGTCATATAACTCATAAGTACCTCCAGGCTGAAGTAACTGCCGTAAGATAATGGTGATTGAGAAAGTTGTAAACATATATTGCAGTCTACATTATTCTGGAAATGATGATTTGATGCATAAGATTAATTATCTATTAACATGCTACTAAATTACAATGGATTCACAAGGACATACCTTCAGTGCAGCTGTTCTCTGGGAGATTACCTCCAAGCCGGTCCCAATTTTGGCCTCGTTTGGGAAGCGGCTATTTTAGTATATTTTGCTCTTTGGCTATTTTAGTAGGTTATTTTAGTTTTTGTATTTGGGAAGATTACCTCCAAGCCGGTCCCAATTTTGGCCTCGTTTGGGAAGCGGCTATTTTAGTATATTTTGTTTTTTGGCTATTTTAGTAGGCTATTTTAGTTTTTGTGTTTGGGAAGATGAGATAGATTTTATTTGAGTTGTTGTATTGAAAAATGTGTTGAAATGATGTTTAAATTTAAAATGACAAATTTGTCCCTAAAATTATAATTTTTAAAATTGATATAAAGGGGCAAAATGATAATTTAGCCGTTGATGTAACATTTTGGTGCTGTCCTACACTGTCTGGGCAGCAGCTTATATTTTGTTTTGTTTTTTTGAAAACATATGAACAATATTGCTTTTGGGCTTTTTTCTCAAATGAGGCTATAATAACCTCATTTTCGGCTTTCCAAACAGTGCCTTTGTGAAACCTTACATCCTTGATGTCCTCTATGAGGGACCTCACGTATCAGAAATATTTACACATAATTTTGGACTCTCCATGCACAAAGATATAAAATATATATATATATATATATATGGTGAACGCAAGCTGACTACATATAAAAAAAAAAAATCTATAAAGGAGAGTCCTTTGAACCCTGTAAACATATTATTCAATACAGATTCAATATATTCAATACACAATTTTCTCTCTTTCTGTATACATTAAATCTAACAAAACAGAAGCCTTGAGATTTCTACATAATGAAATGGTAGTGGTTGAAAAGTCTTTTGAGAGTCCCTCTCTGCTTCCAAAACCTGCGTCAACTTTTCTAGTCGAGAGAGCAGAAAATAATAAGAAAACTAGCAATCTTTAGTTTATTCACAGATTTTCTATTGCTTGGATCACTAGGCATCATAAAGGGGATGATATTCCAAGATTCCAACATAATACAAGTAACCAATTGCAACATTCAACATATTTTCCTACAAATGTTGCTCGATAAATCTAAAAAACAGCAAGTGTCATTACTACTAAAGCCATTTTCAATTCTATGATGCATTAGATTTTTTTATTTTTTATTTTTGGATAAATTCTATGATGCATTAGATTTCAAGCACATTCATTTTCCAATAGCCAAGAGCCCAACTTCTTAAGATATTCATCAGTGAGTATGTGGCCTCTCCTCAGCCTATAGAGTGCATGTTTTGTAGGAGAATAAGAAAGGTAATAATATAGAGGGATGGGGTGGACCAACAAGAAGAGATGAAGATGATGATTATGATGAAGAAATATAAAATTATGCCCTCAAATGTTGCAATTGATTTAAATATGTTGTTAGATTTAATGAGTATCGAAAACTACAAGTAAAAAGAAAGAATAATCGTTGTGACAAAAGTAAGTGTGATTTGGAAACCTCAAATATATATATATATATATATAGAATGTGTGAAATATTTGAGTCACAATATGGATCATTAAAACCTATAGAATAGCCCAAGAGTAAAAATTTTACAACCCAAAAATTCCATCATATGGTTGAAAAGAAAGGCTCAATGCTACTATTATATATTGGTTTTTAGGAAAGAATGCAATGTTTACACAGAAATTGTATTGTTAACTCTTTTGGTAGAAAATCATTGCCAACACCCACACAAACAAAAAAAATAAAATAAAATTTTGTGGTATGATTTATCATACCAAAATCTATGACATGTTAAGGAGCTGTATGAAAAACGCAGTTTCAAATCCAACACCATGCTCATAACACTTCCTTCGAGGCATAGTGTCACGGACTGAGAAATCCTGATGCTGCCCTCACTAGAAACGTTGAAAGCCTAAGGAGATTGCTAGAACTCTCTAGAGAAGGGCTAGAAGATGAGAGGCTAATAGAAGAACCTAGAACTCTCAAGAGCAGTCAAGGAGATGGTGGAACTAGAAAGCCCTGGGAGATTGTAGAGCATGCTGGAAGCTTCTAGAACTCCCTGGAGTTTTGTAGATACTTGTACATAATTGTAGAGTTATGTAGACTCTTCTAGACATGTACATACTAGAATAGTCCTAGAATACTCTAGCTAGGGGAAGTGTCTAGAACACTCTCCAACATAGAAGTTCTAGAATAATCTTTGTAAGGCTATATAAAGGGGAGGGCCTCATTTGCCCAAACCACCCAAGTAGACCTAAGTAACCAAGTGAAATCACAAGCATTCAAGCAATACAACATAAGCATTCCCCAAGAGCTCTCTAAGTTTCTCTAAAACTCTCTTGTGTGCAAACTTCTCCTAGCTCCCTTCCACAAAAGGCTTACTTAGGTGCAAGCAAGGCGTGCTACAAGCATCTAAGGCCGCACGGTTGGCTTGGAAAGACTGAGGGTTGGTTAAGAAAATCCAAGGCCGTGACAGTTGGTATCAGAGCAAAGGTTGCGAAGGCATCGTGACTAAGGAAGGAAGGGCACTATGTCGGAAGTAACTCACACCGAAGAGAACTGTGGAAGGGGGACTGCTGCAAACTTGGGCAAGAAGGCGAAAGACAAGTCACGGGACATCGTGAGTGCCATGGAGACCCGAGTGGTCAAGGTTGAAGTGGCTATGGCCGATGTCAAGGAGCGTCTTGATTGGCTAGAACAAGGGATGGAGCAACTCGATGGTAAGGTGGAAGGCCAAGTTGAGGAATTGCTTGAGTCCATGCGGGACACCATCCGAATCAACTTTGAAGCGCAGAGGCAAGAAAGCTATGACTTCCAAGAACGGATCCTGAAGGCTATTTGTCAACTCCAAGACCAAGTCCATGAGTTGAAGGAAGGCTTAGAGGAGACACGGGCGGATTGGGCCATATGCAAGCGAGCTGTGGCTAGTGGCGGTGTTGCCACTAATGCGAGATTCACTCCAAGGCTTGAGGCACCAAAGCCTAAGGAGTTTGATGGCACGTGGGATGCCACGGAGTTGGATGACTACCTTTGGCACTTAGAGAGGTACTTTGAAGCTTTAAACTTAAACGATGAGATTGCAAAGGTACGTACTGCTTCTCTCTACCTCACTAAGTTAGCTGGAGTTTGGTGGCGTCGTAAGCACGCTGAAATGGAAAGAGGCATTTGCACTATCTCTTCGTGGGAACAATTCAAGAATGAACTAATGAGACAATTCTATCTCAAAAATGTGGCATATGAAGCACGTTTGAAGATGAGGGAGTTGAAGCACACCCACTCTATCCGGGATTATGTCCAAGAATTCTCCGGGTTAATGCTTCAAATCCCTAACATGAGTAATGATGACTTTCTCTTTAACTTCACAGCTGGGCTTAAGCAGTGGGCACAATTGGAACTACAACGAAGAGGCGTCAAGGATATCTCCACTACACTCACCGTGGCTGAGACATTGGTGGAATACACTAAGCCGGAAGCTTCTAACTTGGAGTCGACCTAGGAGGGTCAAGGCAAAGGTGGGGAAGCCACATGGGCCAAAGAATGGAAGGATTCTAAGGATTCAAGGTACAGAGAAGGTAGAAGCAAGTCACCAACGGGCAAAGATTGGAAGAAAGAGGCGAATAAAGAAAGCAAGCCTAAAGACAACTGCTTCATCTGCGATGGGCCACATTGGGCGCGCGATTGCCCAAAGAGAAAGAGTCTTAGCAAGAAAGGGAAGAGCAGGCTTACATGGGATCTCTGCAGCTGCATGGTGCCATCGAAGCGAAGTCTACTGCATCAACCCAATGGGACAAGGGTTTGATGTACGTAGAGGGCAAGATCAATGGGAAGGCGACCCAAGTCATGGTAGACACAGGGGCTTCCCACAACTTCATCAAGGCAGAAGAGGCCAAGCGGCTTGGTCTAAGACTTGACAGGGGTCAAGCATTAATGAAAACAGTAAACGCCAAGGCAAAGCCTGTGGATGGCATGGCTCGAGGGGTCGAGCTGCACCTTGATGGATGGCGCGGAAAAGTGAACTTCTCAATAGCATCACTCGATGACTATGATGTGGTGCTAGGGATGGAGTTCTTGCGAGAGTTCAACGTGGCAATGTTGCCTCGCGACAACAAAATGTGCATCATGGAGAGTGGGCCTTACATGGTGCCAATGGCGAGTAAGGAGAATACTACACTCCAACTCCTATCAGCTATTGAGTTGGGGGCGGACAAAGACAAGGTAGAAGGCGCTACCAAAAAGATGATTGGCGGGCAAGCGGCCAAGAAGGTTCTCTCCACAACGCAAGTCAAGGAAGACTCAAAGAAGGGAGAGACTACCTATCAAGCTATCCTCCAAGGGAAAGGAGGAGCAAGACCTAAGAGACTTCCACCGAGGAGAAAGGTGGATCACAAGAAGAAGAAAAAGCAAGGCGCCAAGACACCTTATCAAGCACAAATGGCAAGTGCAACTCCCTATGGCAAGGAGGCAAGGAAGATTTTGCAAGGAAGGCGCGACGAGGGTGTCGCCGCATTAGGTGGGGGAGAGTGTCACGGACTGAGAAATCCTGATGCTGCCCTCACTAGAAAACGTTGGAAGCCTAAGGAGATTGCTAGAACTCTCTAGAGAAGGGCTAGAAGATGGGAGGCTAATAGAAGAACCTCGAACTCTCTAGAGCAGTCAAGGAGATGGTGGAACTAGAAAGCCCTGGGAGATTGTAGAGCACGTTGGAAGCTTCTAGAACTCCCTGGAGTTTTGTAGATACTTGTACATAATTGTAGAGTTATGTAGACTCTTCTAGACATGTACATACTAGAATAGTCCTAGAATACTCTAGCTAGGGGAAGTGTCTAGAACACTCTCCAACATAGAAGTTCTAGAATAATCTTTGTAAGGCTATATAAAGGGGAGGTCCTCATTTGCCCAAACCACCCAAGTAGACCCAAGTAACCAAGTGTAATCACAAGCATTCAAGCAATACAACATAAGCATTCCCCAAGAGCTCTCTAAGTTTCTCTAAAACTCTCTTGTGTGCAAACTTCTCCTAGCTCCCTTCCACAAAAGGCTTACTTAGGTGCAAGCAAGGCGTGCTACAAGCATCTAAGGCCGCACGATTGCCTTGGAAAGACTGCGGGTTGGTTTAGAAAATCCAAGGCCGTGACAATAGGCATAGGCTCTAAAACAACACCACCAACTTTAACCCCCACCTCCTTTCTCTCCTAGGACCCTAATGACTAAACACTAAACAGGTATCATAGACTCATAAATAACAAATGGCATCAAACCATAAAAAAACATTTCTAACAATTTGAGATCTAAGTCCACATGCCCAGCCAAAAACGACCAAGCATAAAACATGAAATACAGATGTAGTTCCAATTTGGATACATTTGGTTTCCAGTACCTTTGCTGCTTTAATCACCATTAAGTCTATATAAGATTTTGATTCTAAAAAACATGTTGAAAAGAAAAACATAGTATTTGTAAGGACACTCAATAATTAAACATTTGAAAGATGATTTAATGAAATTCAACACATTTGAAAATGCATATAAATTCAGGGTGTTTAATTCTTTAATAATTCAAAAATTGACTGCAACTTTTTATCATGAATATGCCAACTTTGAACACCCCAAATTTTAACTTGATCCTGTTTTCAGATTCTCAGTTCAACGAACAAAGTTCTTCATTTTTTGTTTTTTTCTTTCCAAATTTCAATTTTATGGCTGAACACCTATTAGACTTTAAATAAATTAAATTTAAACGTAATGGACATTCCAGGAATCTATGACACTGAGTGATCATTACAATTCAGAGCCATGAAAGTGATATGACAGTGAAAATGGCTCAACTTTGATGTCTTATCCTCTCTCGCTCTGTGGGTTTGGGGAAGGAAACTACGCCAAAATTGGGCTTTAGCGGCGGTTTTTTACCGCCGTTAAAGGCTGTAAAACCGCCGTTAAAGCCTTTAACGGCGGTTTTGTTACCGCCGTTTATGCGCGTGTCGGAAAAAGTACAACCGTCGTAAAAAGGTAAATTACCGTCGTTAAAAGTCGACCAAAAACGACGGTAACATAGGAC